ACATCACCTACTAACAGAGAACATCTTGGTTGCTTCCAAGTTTGGGAGATTATGAATGAAACTGCTGGAAACACCCATGTGTAGGTCTTCATTTTTTTGCACCTAAACCTTTGATCTGCCTGGAATTGGTCCTGATGCATGGTATAAGGTGAAGATACAATTTTATTTCTCAGATGGCTCTTCAGTTACTAGACAGCACTAATGGAATAGTGGCCCTTTGCCCCCGAGGTTTGAGATGCTATCACCGTATCCTACACCAACTTCCTGCATGACTTTGGGTCAATTTCTGGACTCCGCTCTGTTCCCCTTGTGGGACTTCATGCATCAGAACCATAGCAAGTTGTTACTGAGTCCTTGTAATCTGCTTGGTATCTCCCAGCTTTGTGTGCTACTATTGGTGTTCTTTCCCAGAATTTCCTGGGTTTCCTACCAGAATCAACTTGCATGGCTCAAATATAAATGACAGGACAAAACTATACTTTTCAACCTGATTTTCTTTGTCAGAAACAAAGCCCTCGTGCTGTTCCCGTCAGAACCATGTTAACCTCATCAATCACTTTAGAGAGGCTTCATGACGTCAGATCTTCCTGTCTGAGTATGTGGGACATCCACTTGTTCACGCTTTGTTGGTGTCTTGCAGGGGGAAGGGTAATGTTTTATTGGTTATTCGTCTTGATCATTTCTTGTTAAACTTATTCCTGTTATCTTGTTTGCTGCTGTAAACAGAGCGGTTTGTCCCTTACAGTCTCTTACCCGCTGTTGTGTGTACAGATGAAAGCTATCGATTTCTGTATATTAACTTGCACCCTATCCCCTTTTTGACTCTCTATTTCTAGCTGTATTCCAATTGGATTCTCCAGAGATTTCCACATATAAATCATAGCACGTTCAATAGCAATACTCTTACTTCTCCGTTCCAATTACTGTATCTCCAATTTCCTTCTCTTCTTGTGCTGGCTAATAACTTCAGCAAATGTTAAGTAAGGAAGTTACCATGGGCATTCTTGCGGTATTCCTGGGCTCAGTGGACACCCCTCTAGTGTTTCCCCAGCAAGCATGACGCTAGGGGAGGGTGCATGTGCATATCCCTCTCTACCATGTATGTGAATATACCTGTCTCTACATGTGTCTACACCTCTTTCTATATATTATATATGTGTGTGTGTGCCTGTGTGTATACCTCTGCCTACATATGTCTGTGTATGTGTGTACATCTCTCTATAACATGCATTTGTGTCTACATCCAACTCTGTATAACATTGTGCATGTGTATGTATCTCTCTATATAACACATATACCTCTATAACATCTGTGTTTGTGTACACATCTCTCTATAACGTGTGTGTATATCTATATCTTTATGACGTATATGTGTGTGTATATACCTATGTAATATATACATATACATATACAGACGTGTAAAATCACATTTAAAAATCCACCTATTTTTTATTGAGTTTTTACCAAAAGTAGTTGTTGGATTTTGTAGATGTTTTTTCAGTATCTGTAGTTATAATCGTATTTTTGAATTGCATTTTAATTGAACCCATTTTTGCATTTCTGGAATAAACCACCCTTGTAGTACTTACTGTATTGCTCTTTTCCTCCAATGCTTGGCGGTTAGAATTTTCAATACCTATAACCGAGGCTACCTGGAGTTTTCCTTCTGCACGTTCTCAGTCAGGTGGATAGATCAGTAACAGGCATTTCATGATAAAAATCATTTGAAGCCTTTCCTTGTCTTCATACGCTCTGGAACACTTTAAATAGCCTTGAAATTGTCTGCTACTTAAAGTTTGGTACAATTCTCCCACAAAACTAACTGGGCTTGGTGCTTTGCAGGCAGGGGCCTCTGACCACTTCTGTTCGTTCTGTATAACTCAGTATGGTTGTGTCTTCTATGACCATGCCTCATGTCGCCCTTCAGAGTAACAGTCACCACAACAGGGGCCACAGCTCAGCACCTGTGTCCCAGAGCACATGGCCTCTGTGGCACCTACAAGTTCCAGAGTTTTCTGTCAGATCAGCTGGAGACTAGGCTCATGTGAAGCCTTCTCTTTGCCTGGCTTCTTCCCTCACCCTCTGTTTCCATAATTGCCTTCTAAGAGCCTCCAAGAGAACTCAATGAATCACTTCCCGGGAAGCCCAGGCCCCGGCCGGCTTGTAGAGACCCCAAGCACAGAGTTCTCTCCCCTCCCCTCCCCATGATGACATTCTGTGTGCAGATTTTCATGATATTTATCACATAATACCTTATATTGTAGATATTTCTGTGTCTGAATCATCTCCCCAAATTCATGATAAATCCTTTGAAGAGTAGGACTGTGGCATGTGGCATGGAATGGCACACAGGAGGTGAAGAAGCAAATAGTGTGTCTCTAGGGGCACATAACTACACTGAATAAGGCAGAGCCTGGAGTCCAGAGAAGTGAGGATTAATGAAGGGTGAAGGGACAGCAGTTTCTGTTTCTACAGCTCCAACTTCCACAGAATCAACAGAGGAGAATCAGACCGGCCCTCAAGAGAAATGGGGACAAGTCCCAAACCGTCCTCCGTTGCTAAGCTATCGGGCATATGCACAGACATCTGAAGGTGGAAAAACTAAGGAAACCATTGTAAATGTTACTTTCCATTACTCTAAATACCTGCTTTAATTAAGCTGGGATCTGCAAAGCCATTTCTCCATCAAGCTGGCTCATCCACAATGGGCTCCACCGGATAACCACCTTTGCTAGAATGCGGCTCCCTGGCAGCTGGCCGGCCTTATCCCCTGGGACGAGGGCCTATTGATCGATGACTCTCGGGTGTCCCCCAAGCGAGTGCCAGGACGCTGTAGGCAGTGGAATGGGAGCAGCTGATCTGGGGGCTGCTTTCAAACATTTCGCCAGTCCTGGGGAAGAAACCACAGGGGGTTAATCGGATCCTATGTTCCCTCTTCTCAGAGCAGCGCAGCTGACTGTGTGACCAGAACAAAAGAAGTGAGCATCCAATTGTTTCCTGAGATGTCCACAAAGCCACATCTCACATGGAGGGGGCCAGCGAGGGCCAGCCTGGCCAGGGCACTGGGCAGTCTGGGGCCACAGAAACGGAGATGGAGGGAGGGAGGGAGGGAGGGAGAGAGGGAGGAAGGAAGGAAGGAAGGAAGGAAGGAAGGAAGGAAGGAATAGAATGGACGGACACGCAGAAACAAACACTGCTGCATCCCATCCATCCATCAGGCAGTCTCGCCTTAACACACAGAGGGCCCCCTGGCCCCCTCCCCCACTGCACACACACACAGAGGGCCAGCCTCCTGACCGCAGGGGGATGTGTGGTGCTCCCCCACTCCACATCTTTCCTTCTTTTTTCCTCTCCTGTTTTATTTCAAAACAAGGACCCACACTTATGGGGCAGGCGCGGGCAGATGTTATATGGGTTTCAGAACTAAGTTCTGAGGGACTCAACAGAGCAATACCACCATCTGCTAACCTGTCCGGTATCTGCTGACCACACGCAGCACAGAATTCAGGACCCCACAAGCTGCAGGTGGGGTCCTTTTTTTTGCTTAACAGGTGCATCTGGCTTATGGTTTCCTGACACCATCTTCCCATGCAGCACCTGGAAATCAGATTTGTTACTAACTCAGGAAAACTGACTGGATTGTCCCAGGTGACCCATCCAATTACGCGGACTCTCCGGGGAGACCCTTCTTGAAATATTTTGTGGCAATTCTGACTCCTGAAGGAATTCACCGTCTACATGAAGAGAAAATATGGCTACATTCGTGGACCCATAAGCCTATTAGGTCAGTGCATTGAACAGCCGAGCTTCACTGGACCATGAATATCCACTGTGTGACCTACTGAAGGGGAGGCACAAGCCACGTGCGTGGGG